TAATATAAAAAAAGTATAATATTACCTATAAGTACCTATAGGTACTTTTTAATACCTATATATTTTTTAGGTAGTATAAAGAGTTTTTAAAATACCTATGGGTACCTATATATACTATTATTTACCTAACTATATGCCTGGGTAACTAGGCATTAAGCTATTATTAGGTACCTATGGGAATTTTAAACCCTGATCTTAACGACGCATGAGGTGGACATGAAGGCCAAGGACGACAAAAGCACGGTTTACTTATCAGCATAAGCATGGGCAGTCGAAATCAGAGCCCTGTAGATGAAATAAATCCATGGCTGCCTTATAACAACTGATGCTAAAACTTGGCTGTCTCAAAAACACCATGCCGTCCCGCTCCACTACTGAAATTCGCTGCGCCCTTCACGCTCTCCGTATTGATAACCTTGACACCATTCTCAAACTCATTCCTCAACGCATCCTGAAACGATGATGCGTTATAAACAGAGTAATAGCAATTAGCCCTGTCTACATTCATACACTCCTGCGGAAACGTAAGAAGCTGCTTCGCAATCTTGGTCGCCTCCACCAACGCCTGTCCCTTGGGCACAACACGGTTCGCGAGTCCAAACTGCAAGGCCTCTTGCGCCGAGACAGGCCTTCCAGTGAGGATCATATCCATCGCTCGGCCGAGGCCGATGATGGCCTGTAGCCGAACTGTACCGCCGTCGATGAGGGGGACGCCAAATCTCCGGCAAAATACACCGAAGACGGCGTCTTCCTCGGCAACGCGCATGTCGCCTATCAGCGAAAGTTCAAGGCCTCCAGCGACAGCATAACCAGCGACGGCGCTGATGACGGGCTTCTTGACTTGCATTCTCGAAGGCCCGATTGGGTCGATGTTGCGGTCTTCAACCTTGTGATTCGGGTCGATTATTGGACCGAGGTAGTTGTCTGTTCCCTGCGCGGGAGTCCATTTGGCGACCTCATGGAGATCGAAGCCTGCGCAGAAAGTACCATGTGCACCGTAGATGATGCAGACCTTTTGCGAGGCGTCGTTCTCAAATCCTAGGACGGCGTCGGTCAGCTTTTTGGCTGTAACTCCGTCTATGGCATTTTTGCGGTGAGGGCGGGAAAGAGTTATCGTTGTGATTCCATCGGAGGTCTGGGAGACCTGAACTGCTTGAGGCTCTGTATCGGACATGATCGTTGAGGTGAAAGAGTTTTACAAGTGCTGAAGCAATCAGGAGGAATAGTCCGCCCAAACTCGCTTTATATCATGGATCGGCTGGATCGGATCACCAACCCGTTATAACCGATACAAAAGTTTACGTTCTCCTTGTTATTAATTGTGAGGAGCATGTATACGAAGGGCGTGGCTCATAAAGTGATTGGAGGTCTCTCCAGCTTTGACCTCTGCAATGGATATTTCGAGTTTAGCGCAATCTGACATCCTCGGCAATGACGTTGTCTTCACGTTCATGAGATATTCCTGAGCAACAGAAATAAACACGAAACTAATGCTTAACCTTTATTATGATGCAATTCCCAATCAAAACTAGTGAACTTCATGTCAAATGAACATCGTTCAACAGAAACTCGTAGGTCGCTTGTCAGGCTTGTGAGTGATACCAGTGTCGGTTACACTTTGATCCGGTTTCGCCGAACTGGCCTACCCGGAACCAATTGTCTTTGAACTCGCAAAGCGATAAACATCAATACGTTCAGAGATGAGGTTCTTGCAACCATGCAGTCAAGAGAAATTAATTCTGGCCTTCTCATGCGATTCTTGACTCTATTTCTATACAATAGCAACAAGATATCATGGGTCCGCCGTCTGCGAAAACATCCAGGGCGTATCATCCTAGTCTCACCCAAGCTCTGCATCGAAGCAACTGCCTTCACAACACTGACTGAAGCAAATACCATGCAATTTATTGCGAATAACACGTCAATACCAGTACCAAAAGTATACTGCAGCTTCAATCACAAATGTCGTGTCTATATACTTATGGAAAGGATCAAAGGTCGGGATCTATCTCAAAATTGGATGCAACGGTCGGAAGACTCTCAAGCGCGGATTCTCGCGCAATTGAAGACTTTAATCACAGAGCTACGCGACATTCCCCCACCGGATGGCGCTGGTATCGCCAATGTCGATGGCGGCCCCATCTTTGATCCGCGTCTTCCTGATAAATCCTTCTGGGGCCCTTTTGCAACGATCCAGGAATTCCATCGAGAGTTGCGTCATGGTCTTAAGCTTCGCGATGGGGAAGAGGCATTCCCGGGTCTGAGGGAACTCATAGAGTTTCACAAAGGCCCGTTGGAAGGTCCAGTCTTCACCCACGGTGACCTAAGCAGTCTCAATATCATGGCTGATGGGGATACGGTGACAGGCATTGTGGACTGGGAGATGGCTGGATGGATGCCGCCATACTGGGAGTATACGTCAGCGTGGCATGTCAATCCACGAAATACATTCTGGCGGGATGCGGTCGACAGGTTCCTCACGCCATTGCCGCATGAACTGGAAATGGAAAGAATACGTCGGGAATACTTTGGCGAATTCTAACTGGGTCTCGACATCCAAGTCTTCTGCGATTGAACTCCTTCCATACGAAGAGCCCTCATGGTGCCAGCTCCTTTCCTTCAAGCAGACTATACGTCGACACTCTGCTAGTATCAAAGTCTCCTGGGGCAGCCTGGCCATCAAACCGACGCTCCAAGGCTTTCTGCCCAACAACATCCACATAACCGCATCCCGGACGGGAATCCGATCTAGTACTGAAGTTCTCAGCGTCGTATTGCCGATCTGCAAGGCTGCGAGTGCCTCATGAACCTATTGACCACAATTCCGGGGCGGCTGTTTCCCCCTCATAAGTATGCTACTCAGAGTAGCTTAGAGCTTAGATCGTGATCGTTACCAGTAACATAAGCATCAAAACATCAACAAATTTATTAGGTTTATGGTTTGAGCTTCTATTTATACTACAAAGTATAAGCTCACTTTCTCAGCTACGCTTTATATCATGAGCCTTTTGATCGATAAGCTCGTCATTGTATCTTGAGTATATCTCCACCTTTTATTTATTTTACATTAAACGTACATCATTACAACGCTGCAATGCATATTTCTGTAGATCCTCTTCTGTCATCCCCCGTCTCCAAGCATTTTTCCTCCCCAGAAGCCAGCTAGCCTCTCTCATCAGACCAGCACACCACCGCTGCGAACCCGGCCCGACGGTACACCACTCAGCATCGCTGCTCGTTCCCCCGCAAACTCCAACCTGAGTTCAACAACGTGATCGAACGTGGCGTTTATTATCTGTCGGTTATGATTCACACTATTGGCTGCCTTATTTCGTCGGTCCGAGTAAAATCATCATGTGCATTGACGATGTTTCCTGTTTCGTGAAAGACTTGCCGTGTTATCCGGGACGGGATGTCGGCACTAGTCGAGAACGAACGAAGTCTGGAACTAGCTGGTATGAGAGCCTCAAAAGGGTAGAGCGCCGAATGGAGAAAGGGATTTCCCCGCGTTTACGTGTTGGGATCTGCGGAGGCATTCCGGCTTTAGATACGTCGTAGCTTCGTCTCTTTGTTGATTGTTTTACATGGTTAGAGTAGTCGCAGTTGGAAGACTGAGCTTGGCAAGAGTGTATAAGTCTGCCCCGTGCGGAGACATCACAGTCATAATGACTTGTCCTGGTCCATTTAATTTTCGGCAATCGTTAACAGAATATGGAAGAAAGTTTAACACTTTCAAGATACTCGGATCAGACCATGAGGTCGGATGTTCAATCGCCTGCTCTTGGCCACCACGATAGCGCCACCCGCAGCAAAGAGAATGCATTTTGACGAATAACCTCCTTTAGCTATTACCTTACATAGCTACGCGACTGTCTACTAGGCTAGATCTGGACTGTGCAAGAGGCGCCTTCGATGCGGAGGTAAACAGAATTAATTAAACCGTCAGCCGATATGTCGGACCGACGACTTCACCCTCACCTTTAGAGTTTGCAACTGCGTGGCCAAGAAATTTGACATTTGGGGTCCCCGCGACTCCACACGCAGAACTTGGGGTAGTCTAGACACTCCAGACTGTCAACCGATTGGTCAATGCTACTAGTCCGCTTGCTCGTATCGAGTTAATCCTCTCCCTGAACTTCTCAACTTGGCTTGAGCTGGAATCTCGTGTGCGCACTGGATCTGCATCTATAAAGCGTAGGCCCCCTCGCCTCTCCGAAATCATGACCAGCTCAACAACAACTCCAATTGTCTCTCATCCCATCTTCCTCTTACCATTTTGATCATTTCGGCTCTCTCACAATCATCAACATGGCATACAACGGGCCTGATGAGAAGGGCGCCGCCCACACGGAGGATCGCCGTGAGAGCATCGCCGCTCAACACATTCACGAGGTCAACGACAGCGCAGAGCTCCGTGGCATCCTCACCGCCGCCGAAAATGCCGCCGCCGCAGAACATAACATGACTTTCATGGAGGGTCTCCGGGCCTATCCCAAAGCCATGGGATGGTCAATCGCCCTCTCCACCTGCATCATCATGGAGGGCTACGATACGATCCTCATTGGCAACCTCTACGCCATGAAGCCCTTCAACGAATACTACGGACACCCGGACGGGAAGGGAGGATACTCTATCACCGCCGCTTGGCAGTCTGGCCTCACCAACGGTGCCAGTGTCGGCGAGATCATAGGCTTGTACGCTAGCGGCTGGCTCGCCGACCGCTATGGTTACAAGAAGGTTCTCGCGGCCGCGCTCGTCATGATGACTGCTTTCATCTTCATCCAGTTCTTCTCTGTCAGCCTGTCGATGCTGCTCGCCGGCGAGATCCTCTGCGGTCTTCCATGGGGCGTCTTTCAGACACTCACTACAACCTACGCCGCTGAAGTTTGCCCCATTCACCTTCGTTGCTACCTCACAACCTACGTCAACCTCTGCTGGGTCATCGGTCAACTCATCGCTTCAGGTGTGCTGCGCGGATGCATCAGTCTGGAGAGCAAGTGGTCATACAAGATCCCCTTCGCTGTCCAATGGGTATGGCCCATCCCTATCCTCATCGCTGTGTTGCTCGCACCTGAGTCTCCTTGGTGGTACATCCGCAAGGGCCGTGTTGAGGAAGCTAAGCGATCCTTGGAGCGTCTGCAGAGCAAGGGCACATCTGTCAATGCTGACGACACCGTTGCCATGATGGTCCACACTGACAAGGTTGAGAGGAAGATCAGCGAGGGAACCGGATACCTGGACTGCTTCCGAGGAAAGGTCAACCTCCGCCGAACTGAGATTGCGTGCCTGACCTGGATCTGCCAGACCATCTGCGGCTCTTCCTTCATGGGCAACTCGACATACTTCTACGAACAAGCCGGTCTTGCCGAATCTTCCGCCTTCACCATGACAATCGGCCAATTCGCCCTCGGTTTCATCGGTACCGTCCTCTCTTGGCCGTTGATGTCCCGCGTAGGCCGTCGCACGATCTACGTCTGGGGTCTCTTCTCTCTTACCGTGATCCTCTTGGTCGTCGGCTGCCTGGGCATTCCTGCCAAAGCAGCTGGTTACTCCTGGGCTATCGGATCGCTGCTCCTCATCTACACCTTCACCTACGACATCACCGTCGGCCCTGTCTGCTACTCCCTCGTCGCCGAGCTTCCATCATCGAGACTTCGCCAGAGGACGATCGTGTTGGCCCGAAACGCTTACAACATCGTTGGTGTTGCATACACCAACATCATCGGTCTGTATTCGCTGAACCCTACGGCTTGGAACTGGGGAGCTAAGTCGGCGTTCTTCTGGGCCGGTAACTGCGCTTTGTGCTTTCTGTGGGCTTACTTCCGACTTCCTGAGCCCAAGGACCGCTCTTATGCCGAGCTGGACATGCTCTTCGACCAGGGAGTCTCCGCCAGGAAGTTTGCCTCGACCTATGTCAACCCTTACGAGGTGACCGAGCGACGATTCGACCAGGACGCCGACATCAAGGAGAAGAGCATGACTCATGTGGAGTGATCGGTTGCTGTTTATACATGGACGGTCGCGGTTTCAAGTATTTGTACGAAGATTCGGGCTGGATGGTGCAGATTGCTCAGAGGGTTTGGACAGATTGGGGTTTGAAGTATACGAATAGGTACCATAGTTTCATTTGTGTGTTTCAATCAAGTTATTAAAACTACAATGCTCGCTTGTGTCGTCCATATAGTGCCTACAATTGCCGCCCTCTCCGAGAGACACTTGCTTCTCTCAGCTTTCACTCGTGCGTCGTTTGCTCCCTACAACGTCCGCTCTGGTATACAGAGTTCTGTTACAATCTGTACCATTTCGGCAAGTTACCAGTCGAAGACAACTCGTTGCGTCACCTACGATAACAGTAGCGAAGTCATCATGAAGCTGCTGCATATCTTACGCCTTACGTCGTCAATGAGTCAAGGGCACCGGTCAGGGTGAACCTTGGGCTCCCATGAGTATGTCGTAGTGTCGCAGACTTGAGCGAGATGCTAGTGATCATGTCGGTAATTGAGAAGATGGCTGCGCTGCTCAAAGTAGCCTCGTTGCACATTCTCGTGGATGAGCATTGCCGTGTAAATGTATGATGTAATTCGCAGCGCGATACGCCGTCTTTTTATGTCGATTTGCTAGATTTTTTATGTCTCCAATTTCTCTTATGCTTCTTAGCTTGCGCTGCTTTCCTCGGCTTTCGCTTCACAACCTGCACTCCACACGCATTCATCCCCATCCAATTGTATCGCGAGCCCAGTAGAGTATCGTGCATTCGCGTCATTGTCAGCACATGTTTGTAAAGGGAGTAAATACAAAGATAGATAGAATCCGCGATGCTAAACTGCACTTGTTGATCAATGAAAAATGTAGGGAGGGTCGGGGGAAATGAGAATGTCGCGCGATGGCTCGGAATGACGAATCTGGGAATAGCTTCAATTTGTCGCAACTGGAATGAGTTCTCGGATAATTTACGGAGGTTAAGGTCGGATTGGTCATTCGCTGAGATCCCGCTTAGCTCATATTTTTATCTTGGCTCTGACCCAGTTGACAACCCCTGCTGATGAATTCCCGCAATGCCCAGAAATAAAAGACGAGCCACTAACAATTACAGCGCGCGCATCGTGGGGATCCAGCGGGGACAATGAGCCAAGCTCAACATGGTGCGACAGCGAACTCCCCGCATCTGCTTGTGACACTTGCATCACGAGTTGACCCAGCCTCAATCATATCATATCCCCCACCAACAAGGTCGGAGGGGTCTAGATCGTGAAGCGGTGAGACACCAAAAAAGGCGCGTGAGCAACAGGGGGCCCAATTGCGATGAAAGGGCAGGGCATCACATGCGAAGCAGGCTGCGACAAAGAAATGGAATGGACTAAACATTTGAGATGAGACATTTCGCGAGATCTACAGTGTCAATTCGACAAGCTTATTCTCCACTGTCGCATCACATTGACCACCATCTTTGATCTCGTGCACCAAGTCCAAGACGCATCCAAAGTCTCAAATGCAACGCCCGTATCAATTGAGAGAGTGTTTGTGCGCCCGCAATTGACTTGATTACGGTGACACAGACGCAACTCAGTCACATCCACAGACACAGTCACAATCACAAGCCTTGTTGTTGTTGCTGTTGCATCCGCCAAGACCATTCTGGAGGGTTCCCCAACTTCTCCACCGAATAACCTCTAGCTAAGCGCTGTACCTTATCGGCCACGACACGAAAGAATAGAACAGAATAGAACGCTTGACGCAATAGATCAGTTCTAATCCACCAAAATACGACGGAATAGTAGGGAATTACCCTTGTATGAAGTTCAAATACCCACCGCGAAGGTTAAGGCGGTAACGCGATAAAAACGGCCATTGAAAAAGGGCGATCCAGGTTTAGCGTCGGCACCCTCCATTACGACAGCCTAGACCCTTGGCTTTGGCTTTGCCCCGCCTAGACCGCCTGCCCTTTGGGAACAGTCACCAACCTGCAGCTCCGCCTCCATTTCATTTCATTTCATTTCATCCTCGTCGTCTCCCCAGACACAACAAAAGGGTTGACGGTCCCCGCTCTCCTCCCCTCCTCTGTTCAATCCTTCCACCGCCTACGCCTCGACCCATCACCGAAAGCGACACGCGAGTCGCCATGTCCTCCACTGCGACAGCCGCAGCGGCTGCTGCCACGGGCGCAAAGCCCCAGGGCGGCATCATCGAAGGCCTCAATCCGATCCACTACAACCCCAAGGACCCCATCTCGCTCTTCATCGTGCAGGCCTTCATCATCATAATCTTCTGCCGCCTTCTGCAATGGCCGCTCTCCAAGTTCGGTCAGCCGCGTGTCATCGCAGAGGTCATCGGCGGTATCGTCCTCGGCCCCTCCGTGATGATGCGCATCCCCGGCTTCAAGGAGAACATCTTCCCCACCGAGTCCATGCCCGTCCTCACCAACGTCGCTACTATCGGTCTCTTACTCTTCCTCTTCCTCGTCGGTCTCGAAGTCGATACGCGCATGTTCAAGTCCAATTGGCGCGTCGCTGTCAGCGTCGGTCTGGCCAGTATGATGCTGCCCTTTGGTCTTGGTGTTGCTGTTGCTTGGGGCTTGTATGAGGAATACGGCGATGAGGGCACCATGAAGGACATGGAATTTGGCACTTTTGCTCTCTTCATCGGAACTGCGCTTGCCATCACCGCTTTCCCGGTTCTTTGCCGTATTCTGTCTGAGCTTCAGCTTCTCTCAACTTCGGTCGGTGTCACTGTGCTTGCGGCGGGCATTGGAAACGATGTTGTTGGCTGGGTTCTTCTAGCTCTGAGCGTCGCCCTCGTGAACAACGCCAATGGCCTCACAGCGCTCTATGTCTTCTTGACTGCAGCGGCTTGGGTACTCTTCCTGGTTTATGCTGTTCGACCAGTCTTTCTTTGGGTTTTGCGCCGCACCGACAGCATCCAGAATGGCCCATCCCAGGGCATCACTACCTTGACTCTTCTTCTCGTCTTGGCCTCGTCCTGGTTCACTGGTAAGACCGCTGTTCACATTCACTGTCATGTCTAACGCGATATAGCCGCGATTGGTGTTCACGCCATTTTCGGTGCTTTCCTCATAGGACTCATTTGTCCGCACGACGGTGGTTTTGCCATCAAGTTGACCGAGAAAATTGAAGATCTCGTCGGATCTATCCTTCTGCCACTTTATTTTGCCCTCTCTGGTCTCAATACCAATCTCGGTCTGCTTAACGATGGCACTACCTGGGGCTATGTCATTGCCGTCATTGCATGCGCCTTCTTCGGCAAGATCATCGCCGGTACCCTGGCTGCGCGTCTCACCAAATGTCTCTGGCGGGAAAGCCTGACTATCGGTGCCTTGATGAGTTGCAAAGGTCTTGTAGAGCTCATTGTGCTGGTAAGTTACTCGTCGCTGTCGCAGTGCGCGGCGCTAACAATTCCAGAACATTGGTCTTCAAGCCGGCATTCTCTCCAGTCGAACCTTTACCATATTTGTTGTCATGGCAGTGGTAAGTATTATCTTGTTTACTCATCAACTCACCGCTGAATAAGTTAGGTTACCACCGTGACAACCACTCCGCTCACTAGATGGCTCTACCCTGTCTGGTATCGCCAGAAGGTCGAGAAGTGGCGCCGAGGAGAGATTGACTGGGATGGAAACCCTCTCCAGACTGAAGCTCAAACTTCTGAGCATAAGATGGAAGAGGCTCTCGACAAGTCGCAAACTCATCGTCTCATTCTTCATCTTCGCCTTGACGCCCTTCCCGGACTTTTCAACCTCGTGTCGCTTCTCGGAGGATCTCGAAAGACTCCCCATGCTCTTGCAGACTCAAGCATCGAGGCCGTCGACTCCACTTCTGAGGAGAAGACTCAGCCAATTCCCAATCGCCCTCTTGAAGTTCGTGGCGTACGTCTCATGGAGCTGACAGATCGTACATCCTCAGTCATGCAGTCTGCCGAGCTTGATGAATTTGCTTCCCGCGATGCTGTCTTCTCCGCGTTCCAGACTTTCTCCCGCCTCAATGGTGTAGCTGTTGCTGGTCAAGTCTCCATCATTCCTACCAACGCTTACGCAGAGACCATTGTCAAGTATGCCGAGGAAGCCAGATCCGACTTCATGCTCATTCCCTGGAGTACCTATGGAGGTCTGGCCGAGGAGAGCTCTGGTGCCGCTGCTTTGACCGAGACCGGTAATCCCAACGACCGCTTCTTCAGCAGAACATACATCGACTACGTCGCCGCCGCTGTTGAGCGCTCAACTTGCACGACTGGTATCTTCATCAATCGTACTCCTCACAGTGATTCTTTGTCCAAGAAGCCAACGCTTACCCGAACCCGCACCGGTCTGTCAGTCCACAGCGCCCACGATGGCGCCATCATCCACAGGCCTGTCGACCAGCGCCAGAGTATTTTCGTGCCCTTCATCGGCGGCAAAGACGACCGCGCCGCTCTCCTCTTCGCCCTTCAGCTTGCTCACAATCCTCATGTCTCAATCCACGTCATCCATCTTCACTTCAACGAAGACGATCACATTACCCCCGAAGGCAAGAACATCGATAGTGTCCCCTCAGCTAGTGACTTGGATCTCCTCAACACCGCCAAGAGCAACGCCTCCGGCAAGCTCGAGGGTCGTGTCAACTTTGTCGAGATCTCTGTTGACTCAATCCGCAATCTTCCCGACCTCGCTGTCGCTCACGCTCGTGAGACCGTTGGTAAGTCTCGTCTGAGCGTTGGCGATTTGATCGTCGTTGGTCGTGCGCACTCTCTCTTCGACAATATCCTCGCTGAGGACTTTGGTGTTGAGAGGGACTTTCAGCGCACGGTTGGTGTGCTGGGTGACAGGTTTGCTAGAGCTGGAATTGATGCTGGATTGTTGGTCATTGATGACAAGCAGGGCAAGGTCTAGGCTTTGGGAATTTGGGTTGTTTCAATTGGCATTTGAGATTGAATCTTGGATGGATTATGTACGTTGGATTTATTATTGAGATATCCCATATATGACGGTGTTGGATACGATTTACGAATACATATTTTGATCTTGAGTTGCTGTTTGAGTGTATGATGTCGTGACTTTGTATGGTCTATTGATCCTTGGGTAAAGCTTAGGATCATTATCCTGAGGAGCAAGAAGACCTTGGTAACTTTAGTATAACTTAGTATAACTTATTACACAATCTTTTCTAAGCCTAGCTAAATTCTATAAACCCTGGTATACCTTAGTCTAGACTTAGTAGGCTTTAGGTCATGTGTTTTTGGCCTTTAAGAAATCTCATCCATCTTTCGCTTCTGCCCTCCAGGAGTCGACAAGACGCTCAGAACGAGAGCCCCAGTCTCCACCGCCTTTTCTGCCTTCTCAGCTGATTGAGCTACCTCACTGCGCAATGCATTCATCTCTTTTTGGAGGGTTTCCACGTCGCTCTTGGTCTTCTCTTGTTCGGTGCTCGCTCGCGCTTGAGATGCTTTGGACTCGGCGAGTTGTTTCTCGAGATTGCTGACATACTTCTTCGCCTCGTCGAGTTCTCGGTTTGTGGAGGCGAGGCTCTTCTCCAATTCGTGCATTCTAGTGGTGTCTCCTTTCAGATCATGTTGGAGATGGCTTTTGATAGCAGCTGTGAGACCGTTGACAGGTGACTCGTCGATTGTTTTCTTGATAGCCTTTGCTCGCTTCTCGATGGAATCTTCGTTGGGTGTAGTGACAGGCTTTCCGTAGAATAACTGCATCTGGGTTTCGACGGGGATGGATTTGGGATAAATGATGGCGTCGGTTGGAAACTGCACGCCCCAGAGATCTGACATGTCTTTACGGATAGATTCGAGAAACGGATGGCCGGGACCGAGCCAGACAGCCACGAAGAACCAGTCCGGGTAGTAAAGCTCCTTGTTGAAATACCCGGTCCCAATAAGTCTCAGGTATGGCGGCTGGCTGCTGACTTTGGCTCTGTCAAGAGGACCTGCGGTCCTGATAGCTACCCATGTGTCCATGACAGCCTTCTTCAGCTTGACGGCCAGTTCGAGTGGCATTGTCTTCTCAACCTCCGTGAAAGCGGCGACGATATCGTTTTGCAAGTTTCCAGAGTGTTGCATTGCATAGGCGGCTGGAATGTCGCGCTGATGCAAGTGGATGTTCCACCCGGCAACTGAGATTCTCAAGCGGGTTCTTCGCTGGAACATGTTAGAGTCAGGGGCAAAGACGAAGATGGCATGACATACTTGGACTCCATCAGAGCCATCGTGGGGAACGAACCGAATCCCGACTCCAACTGGACGTTTGTCTTGGCTGTTGGCTCGTGTTTCAGGCATCGGTGTATCCTTCTTTTGCGTGGAGGAAGTGATTGTGAAGACGAAGTTTGACCGCCTTGAAGTAATGCGCGAGTGATTGTTGGTTAAAGGATGGTAAAGATATGTTTGATGTTTGTGTTGCTTAAGATACAAGCGCGCTCATCAAAATCGGTTTGTGCAAAGGAGGAGATGGATTGACAGGCAGAAGAGTCTAGACGAAATAGTTGACACGGCATCATCCCCCCTTCAGCGCGCCGAGATCGCTCCCTTCTCTCCCCTTTCTAAAAAGCCATCTGGGCTTCTGATTCAGCAACACCAAGTCCAATCTCAGCACCTTCGAGATCCTCCTATTTATATCACACTTCCTTCTCTGTTCCTCTTTCTTTCACCCTCATCACGTTCAAAACACTTCACTTTCACGACTCTAGTCACTTGACATCACTTCTTCAACAGCTTCACTAAACACAATGTCATCCCAAGGCTCCAGCAGCTCCTCAAAGGACCCTTCCAACAAACGATCTTCCGAATTGATGATGCTCAGCTACGGCGCTTCACTCGAACACCATAAGTTCCTCGAGGACCTCAGCAGCAAGGCGTACGATCTCGGCCTCAAAGCCGGTCAAGGACAAGCCAACCTCAATCCCGACGACGAGACACAAGCCCTCATCCTCAGCCTCACCGACCGCAACGACGAGCTGGAGAAGCAAGTCAAGGACCACGCAACCGATTCGCTGCTCGATCTTGCCAAAGAAGTCCGTAAGTACAATGGCCCTACTATGTAACGCAAGATTCTAATCATAAGCTTAGGCGACGATGTCAGCGCTGCTTACCGCGCCGTGAACCATGCGACTCACGCTGATTGTCTCAAGCCCGACGACTATCGAACTTTGAGAGAGTCATGCAGTAAACTCTTGCAGCTGGAGTACAAGTGCAAGGAGCGCGTTGAGCAGATCTCACGCGGTACGGCGAAGAGACCAGGAGGTGCATTGGAGCGTGAGCGCAGCAACAAGCGCCCGTTTCGGGGTTAGGTATGGGAGGGTCGATGCACTGGGGAACTTGGGGAGTAAGAAAACATCAGACCTTCATACAAGATGTTGAGATCAGCTCAGCAAAAGGGATCCTAAACTTAGGCCGAGTTACCCAAGTCTTTGTGTCATTTAGGGTTGAGATCCTAAGTTTTCTTCCCCTAGAAGGGGGTTAAGCATGGATATGGGCAGGCGAACACTCTTGGGACGGGAACTAGATATTAGCCAAGTCCAAAAGACATTTGCATTCTCTTTGAAGCGCTTCCTTCCTTGCAGCCTCATGATGAAACGGTGTTCCAGTATCCAAAGACTCATGCAGCGCTTGAGCAGGCGAATACTCCTGGGATGGGCATAGGGAACTAGACCACTACGGCAAAAAGACATTGAGCCTAGAAAACATTTGCCTTCTTTTTGAAGTTCTCAGATTCTTGCAGTTTGGTGATGAAGGGCGTTTCGGCGTTCGAAGACTCCTGCGGCACTTGGTGGTTCTCTTCGTCTGATTCTGATGCTACAGCTGAGTCCACAGCGTCTTATTTCCGTACCATTATACCCTTATTCGAGCCATCTTGACCCAGCACCTGTCAACAGTGTCACGGTCACGTCTTCATTTGCATCCACAAATGCACCTGGAGACTAATCCCGTGTCAGCCCTCCTCACTCTTCCTTCTATCTTTTCTTCAAAACTCCTCAAAACTCTTCAAAGATTACCTATATTTCTCCAACTCGCCTAAAATCTTCGTCTTCACCTTCACAAAAGCTCATCACCATGACTCGCAACACCAAACCCAAGCGCAAATCTCTTCCCTCCTCCCCTCCCAAGCCCTCATCTCCAGTCTCGGAGTCCCTCCCCTCTTCTTCTCCTCCCAAAGCCCGATCTGCGAACTCAACCCGCCGCTCCTACAAGAACTGCCCAGTCTGCAAAGCCATGCTCGTCAATCGCAACGGCAGTCTCGCGCGTCACGTTGAACGCCATGCAAAGCTCGCCAAAATCGAGGTCCGGTCCTTTCTCCTCTTCTCTCCTCCCAGCTCTAACGTGGTATCAGGCTATGAACATCGAGATCAATCTTCCCCGAATGGACGTTCCTGACTTTGACGTCGAGCTCGCTCAGAAAATGTGGCAGTCGGTTCCTGCGAGACGTCGCGCAACCGGTGGAGTCTTTCTCGATGGACCTCTTGCTGGACAAGGTTTCTTTGAGGGAATGCCGAGCGCTTTTCTCCCGAATGGACGGGTCAAGCCAAAGTGGGCGTGGATCAAGAAGGATCTTGAAGCGAGGGTTGGACGTGGTCCTTTGAGCGCTCTCAAGAACGCGAATGCCAACGCTGGATCTGTCCTTGATAGTGAGGGTCGCATGGGGATGTAGCGGGACATTCAATTGCCTCTCTTGTATGCACTGGGCAGTGAAGAAAGGCAGAATGATGTTGTCTAAGAGGGCAAACAGGTACAATTTTGTTCCCGCGTTATTCCCGGATTTCAAGCTGTGTTCCATATTCACATCTCAGCTGCCTCTATCTTCAACAAACCTCATATATTGGAAGAATCACTCAACTTACAGTCATTCAACAGCTGAATAAGGTACAGGAACCTAAATTGTCTCATCGACTGCATAACAGCCCTTTCTATAGCAATATAAATCTTGAAACAGGGAAACATGAGAAGCGAGGGGACGAAATAGCTGGTGAGATTTGTACGTATATATTGAATCCTCCTTACAACTCGCGTCAGGCATCATGCTATCAGTATTGCGACAGGTCTGTCATGAAAATTGACGTGCGTTGCGCTTGAGCTCTGTCTCTGCATCCAAGAAGTGAAGATGTCGTTGGTGAACCCCGCTACGTACATATCTGCGCTTATCTGTTATCGCAACCCGCTGACCTTGACGACTCCGTTAAGTAATTGAACTCGGGGAGCAAGACAACATCAGACTTTAATATAATGTATCCTAAACTTATACTGAGTTTGTCTTGAAATTATCCTAAATTACGCAAGTCATCTTATCATCTAGGGTCAAGGCCCTCAGTTTTCTTCCCGCCTCTGGCTATCTATAGCGTATCAAGCACCAACTCTACTCAGAACATAACAACATGAAGGGTTTTCAGCATCTGCATCGGCGCTTGTTGTCCTGAAGACTTTGTCCAGTCGCCGGCCTGGTATCCATGAATTGACTAATTGAGCCAAAGTCAATGAAGCTTTGACAGCGTTTACATGAAATATGTGAAGCGAGAACAAAGGCTCAATTGAATCGTTTGTTGACGGTACAAGTGATCTCAAGTGCAACCATTACGTACAAATACAGCTCAAAGACCAAACAGATTTATTCACGTCAAGACACTCGAATAGTAAAGTCATGGAATATGCATTGACATTGCTCAAACAGGCATCTAATCATAGACTATGGTGGTATCTCAACAACTAAATTTATAGCAACTCTTGCAAGTGGGAGGTAGTCACATCTTCTCAATGTCCCTAGGAGCAGCGGGCTCCTCATGCTCCTCCGAAATCTTGTTCTCCAGAGCGTTAGGCTGGTAAGCGCCCTTGTACTCAGAAGCCTTGAGCATGTTCCACTTGTCCTCCTCAGCATCGAGATGCTTGAAGTTGAACCAGAAGGCAACACCACCGACGAATGCGATGACGGCAACAACGACGTAGTTCCAGACGAGGAGAGGGTCGCCGGAGAGAGGCGTGAAGGCCTGGCCGATGGCGGAGGCGAATGCGGACATGAAGAGGTTGACAGACATGACGAGGGACTTCATATTATCGGGAGCCTTGGAGTAGGCGTACTCGTAGGATGTGACATTGGCGAAGATCTCACCGAGACCGATCAGGATGTAAGGTAGGCACTGAGCCCAAACGTTGATGTCGGCGGGTGCACAATCTGGGGTATTGGCATACTTGCCGCAAGGGCTCTTTTTATAAATGAAATCTTGCATGACAGCCGATGCAACCATGGCGAGGGACGAGATGATGAAACCGGTTGTCATACGCTTGATGGGGGTGAAGGAGATACCCATCTTGCGGAGACCAGGGTAAAGAAGGTGATCAATGAGAGGGACCATGATGACAATAGAAATGGGGTTCAGGTTCTGAATGACATCATTGGGAACACCGTTGAGTTGCATGGTGGAGGCCTGAGTGGTGAGGTTACCAGTCATCTGGTTGTAAGCCAGATGGAAGACGGGCAGGTAAAGGAAGACCTTGCAGGCCATCAGACCACGACGAACCTCGTCGACCCAGGCATCATCGTAAGTCATCCAAGCAGGGCGCTGGTCGACGGGAATCTGAGAGGGCTTGGCGTGCTCCCAGTTGAAGCTGAAGAAGGAGCTGCGCTTGCGGACGTAGAAGAACATGCGCAAGAACTTGGAGAGGACGGAACCAGTAGGAGGCTTGAGCTTGTACTTCTTCTTGTTGAGGGCGAGGACGATGGGGGCGACAAGGAAGAAGATGGTGGGGATGAAGAAGGCGAGCCAGAAAGAGTGATACTTCTCAACGTAGACCATTGCGATCTGACCGCAGACGGAGCCCATGTTGATAGCGAGGTAGAAGTAAAGGAAGACACGGGTGTTGGTCACGGCGGGATCAACAATGACACGCTCGCCATTGCGTACCTCGACGCGCATCCTCGTGTCCTCATTCTGATCAGCGAGGAGAGGAGAGACGTTGGCCTTGAAGAAACCGGTTCCGACACAGAGAACAAGGAGGCCGATGATGAAGGCACCGAAAGCGGGATCCTTGCGGACAATGACACTGGGAGAAGAAGCAGCAACAAGGATGACGTGAGCGCATGTAGAGATGGCGATGGCGATGTGAAGAGTGAGGAAACGGCCGAGCTTGGCATCTGCAATATAGGCACTTTGAGACACGTTAGCAACAGACAGACAATGAACGACGTAAAGAACGAGACTTACCCAACGAGAGGCATGAGATAGGCAAAGAACTGGTTGAACAGAGAAATACCCTGCGCAGCCTTGGGTCCCATACCAAGCGCACCAGCCTGAGCCTGAGGATCGTTGGGGTCAACGGGCGCACCCGTGTTCGAACCATCTGGCAGCGGCTTCGCGACGAAGTTTGTGTACAGGACCGCAGAGCCGTAGTACGAGAAGCGCTCGCAGGCCTCTACGAAGGCGATGGTGTACATAGCCCACTTGATCTTTCCGGAGACGCGGCGCAGCGTGCGCAACTCCTCCTCGGTGGGGAGCTCATCGTCCGAGTCGGAGACGGAGCGCTGGCGCGTCACGTCGATGGAGCCCTTGCCGACGACCTGGGGGATGCCGTGCGTCTCTGGGTAGGCGAGACCCGAGTTGGCAATGGCGTCTGTGTCGAGGTGACCTGCGCTGGTCATTTTGACGATTCTTCTGTCAAAAAGAGAGAGAGAGAAGAGGGTTGAGAGAGGGATGAGAGAAGACCTGGCTCTGAGGCGGGGGGGGATGTGAAGGATAATTATACATGAGACGATTTATCTACGGAAGGACCCAGCAGGCAAGCACTCCATTATGGGTCCCCCTTGATTGCGACCTTCTCAAAAGCGCACAAGTTGACGATCCCAGCTTGATACAGAAAACCCCAGAGTCGCAGGTCAAAGTAACCTTACAGAACAGAGTTGTTTAGTGGAGACCGACCTTATCTGCCCGCGGGACCAATGAGGGCAGGACATTTCCAACGACAAAAGTTCCTCGAGGGGGTTAGGCCACATGCGGGGATTGGCCCGAGCACTGATCGGTCCTTTTGCCATGATACCCAAAGGGGAAGGTCGACATTCTCGTAACGTCGGCCGAAGGAAGTGGATGTTTGCGCTTCTGTCTTTTGTTCTCGAACATTTGAGATTGCAGCTATCGTATCTGTTTGACCCAGAGAAGTGGTTTGCCATCAGGGAAGAACCTGGTCAGAAATGTCTAGAATTGCAACCGTGACATTAAACAATGCTTTTAAGTACAGTATAGTGTTGAAGTGCCTCGGCTTGGACGTCGGATCTGGGCGTCTTCCGGCTCCGAATATTATATTACGTCTTGGCTGTGATTGGGGCCGAGCCACCAGCTCCCGAAACTGTGGCGTGGCGCCTTCAGCTGCCAACACGCCAAGAGCGCTGAAGGCAATTCGCCTGGCTTGGCTTTACGGTTGGATGTTGGTAATTGCCATTAACAAGATCGACGTCGCCTCTCCCTCTTGCAAAGGGAGAGAGCGTTGAGTGGTGGCTTGAACGTGTCATCAGGGGTCTTGGCGGTGACATTGAAGTGGAGAGCGTCGCGTGCTTGACGATGACTTTCACCTCTTCACGATCGAATTGAAGCAAGATATGGGACTCATTCGCATGTCTCATATGCCCATATCTGGGTCACTAATCTCTTATCATTAAAATCCTTCTCTAGTACTCCAAAGTTGCCTGATCTTAGCACATCATTCCAACATCTTCCGCTTCAACCTTAAAGTTCATGTAACGGTAACCTTCCTAAAGCGGTTAAACAGGTTACAGCTTCGGGAATACAGTGTCCACTATTCCCGCCCAGCTAAACGAATTTTCACTGCCGCCAGTTGAGATCAAGTGAAGATAGTGGCAATCTGTTAATTACACGTTGAATGATACTGCGCACGATGCTACCCTGCTCAGAAACTGCATGCAGAGATATCACCTGTCAACGTCCCCAGTCCCCACTGAATTAACATTAACATTTTAAACATCAGACGCACGCGCTCCATGTCAAAACCTCGTAAAACGGATCTCGTTACCTCACAGATTCAACACCCAGCTTCCCCTTTTGGCTCTTCTCCAGATAAGCTTGCAAACAAGGTTCTTTCTTCGCGGGGGGACTCTATTTATTATGTAAGAGACCAAATCTGACATTACCCAACTGTTTTCTTTACTAACATTCCTTCATCTGCTTCGCGCGTTTAATCAACCTGCCAAGAAAAGACCTACACGCGCGTGGCGTCGGAACTTTTGACGCTGCTCAGTGACCCCACGGCCTTTTGGAACCCGCCAAGATATCTTGCCCCCTGTAATTGCAGACCCAGCCAGAAGTTCCCAGTCTAGCCAGTGCAGAGGACCCTTTGCTTAGCGCCTCGGACTCCCTTGCTTCGCTTCCCCACTTCAGTTTTCCCCAATGGAGTTTCTCCAATTTATCGAGTAATGAAAGCGTCTTCCCCCAGATTCTTTTTTGGGGTTTGGGTCATGGTGCAAGATACAGTTGAGATATCGTGCTTGACACCTTGTTATTATCTCGTAATTGAGATGTGAAAGGCGGGTTAATTGCTAGTGCAGAGCCGCATGTCGTTCGTTGTCTGGGCCAAGACGGGTACGATAGGCCATTTTCTCGGCGCCGAGGTGATAGTTCTCCGCTTAGAATCGCACGCAAAGTCACTTGGCGTTCG